GAGTTCGTGTAGAGGATGGGCTATGTTAGAAAATATTTAAAAAAATGATGATAGTAAGAGCACAGTCGAAGAAGTCCTCTTATATCATGTAGGTTCTTTGGTGTTGGCCAATTATGGACAGTGTCAATCTTCGATGGATCTGTAGATGTGTCCCAGAGAACTCACTTGTTAACAGAATAATTCACACTTTTCGAGATTCGGCTTGAGGGCCTTTTCCTCAACTGATCTAGAACTTTCTTTAACCCTTAATAATGATCACCAAGGGTCTTTCCATGTGTGAATATGATGTTTAAATAGATAGATATGATGTTCCAAGGTAGTTCAGACAAAGCACACTCCATTAATCATTGGAATTTAGCAGAAACATGTCATAATTCAAATGACAATATGGCAACTTGTTACAATCCATTTCCTGTAGTAAAGGCTGTCTTCTTTCTACTTGCTTTGTTGACTTCTTCTTGCCAATATGCACTCTTAAGATATAATGATGACCACAGTTTCTATCCAATAAAGCATGCAAGGTAGAGTCAATCCTTTGCAGTGGGTAGGAATCCTTCTTTGTAACTCCATTCACTCTTTGGCAGTCCACACAAAACTCTGTGGAGCCATCCTTCTTCCTTACAAGTACAACAGGCAATGCTCATAGACTAGTACTCAATTCTATTATTCATTGTCTTTTCTTGGCTTCTATTTCTGAAAGCCTCAGCCTGATTTGCAAATGAAATTCTGGCTAACTGACGTATTGGGACTGCATCTCAGTATCAATCTTATAAGATATTTTACTTATTCTGCTTTAGTTATGAGGTTCATGGAGAAAGCATCTTGATATTCCATGAGCAAGTAGCAAGTTATGAATTCGCTTGTACTGATCAGTTCTAAGATCCACCCCCTCACCATAACTCCAGTCATAGAACTCTTGTAAGTGTAGTTATAAGATATTCTTATATATGGGTTTGACACTGAACTACCTTCATCTTTCCTGAAAGGTCACAAATTCTTATGTCCTATGATGTAAAAGTTCAACCTGTACACCTTGAAATCTTGCAATTTTTCATCCAGCTTTAACTCAACTTTTATCGTTTATTGTATTAATAACCCTAATGATGCCATCTTGATTCTTCAGGTCCACAATAGTTTTACCAACCATTAATCCACCAGGGTGCAAGGGTTTGTTTTGTCCTATTATGGTCCAGTCGTTATATATAAATTTATTTTTAAGAAGTCCTGGAATGTGTTCTTCACTTCTCAATGGTGTAATGATTGCTCTCCTTGTTGTCACAGTAAGCGCAATTCCTATTGTAGTAATTGCCATATAGTGCACATTTCCTGGTCATAGACTGTAAGGCTATTTGAAGTAAGCTTACCCTTATATACATTTATTCACATGAATCAGTTTCCAATATGTCCTCTTCTTCAAAGTCAATCATCCTCACAACATGAAGCATAGAGAAGTTTCCTACTGTAAAAGTATCTTCTAACTCTATTCTTGGTGCAATCTTATGTCCATTTACTGTTCACATCATTCCCTCTTCTTTCTTCAGATCTGTAGACAGTTTTATCACATTTAATTATTAAATCAGGTCAAACTGTTGTAGCTGTAGAACTAGTGTTAATAAACACACTGCAATACTTGTCGTCAAGAAACCAAGTAGTGAACTTATCTCATCTGGAGCAGATGGGTATTCTTAGCTGAGCTTTGTCGCATAAGTCTGGCTAATTTCTGCTTCCCGATTTCTGGTTAGCCCTTATTTGTTTCTTTGATCTGGTTGAGCTCAAAGACTCATTCTTGAGTTACTGTGTTCTTGCTGTCTTAAACATTGTTGATTTCTCACAGTCTCAGCTGTAATAGCCAGGTTTTCAACAGCTCCATCTTTCTAGTATCCTTTGGGACAAGTTCTTATTCTCCAAAAGCTTTTGTTTGCAGATCTAGGCAATATATCCTTTCAAGTTACACTAAAAACACTCATTGTTTTTTAGTTTATTCTCTCAATTCCATGTCATTAGTATTCTAACTAAATATTTTTTCCTATATTGTCACCAATGGAAGTTGATGTTTCAACACTACTTGTACTGAAGATCCCATAACGTCAAGATGTCAATTTTAGTTTTTTAACAACTTTAATGGATTCTAGTTCCACTACAAACTGAAAAGTTTCCTATAAAAATGTACAGGCACTTTGCTTAAGCTTAATTCTCATATCCACGTCCATTATGGCATCTATAAATTGGTCACTTGTCAACAAATCCATCATTTCATGAGCAGCATCCGGGAAAGATAGTTGGACAAGCCTTTCTAAATCTTCTGCAAGTTTAGCTAAGGTCCCTTCTTTCCTCTGTATCCTGTTCTGGAACTTTTCTTTGGTTATTGCTTTATAGTGTGACACTCCAAACCTAATGGATAAAGTGGCTACCAATGTTCACAGGTTACTTTACATTGTCAAAACTGGACTTTTTAATTGTATAGCTTGTTGTTTATTATTATTTCACCTATTCATTCTGGGAATGATTTCCAACTGAGCTAGGTACCTTCCCATCATTGTCCATCGGTTTCTCAACTGGTTGGTGTTGAATTGTCCAGCTAAATGGATTTGGTAGTGTCATGGATGGAGTATTCCAGGAATGTTATTCAGTTACAGGTGACACATTTTGTAAAAGACAGTGTTCCAGCTGGAACTACTGAGCTGATGTAGAAAGAGGTGTGGCTGGTGTAATCATTCCAGTTAATACTTCAGATGTTTTATTCTGTCACTGATGTTCTTTTCTACCTGATTTTTGTGTCTGTTTTTACTTCAGTTTTGACTTGTTAATCTTGTAACTACAGCCGCTCTGTACTTCTTCAATTTTATCATTAAAGCCTTCCATACTTTTTCAACTTGATTGTTGCAGTCTCTCTGAATATCTCTAATAGTTTCATAAATAATGTCTTAAATGAGATTTTTCATTTTAATTCTTCTTTAAATGGTAAATCCATTTTTAACTCTTCTCGTAAATTACCTTCACGTTCTTGCTCATATTTCAATTTTCTATAAATTCCTTCTTTGTCTTCTTTAAATTTTCTGTCACTTTATTTTAATTTTTTATCATTTCTTCTTGTTATTCTTTAATTTTTTTATCTCTTCCCCCGATCTTGTCTTAACTATTTCATCACCTCAAATAAGGCTTTGTTCTCATTATTTGACTTCGTAATCACCATCTCCAACAGTTAAAGTTCTCAAAAATATTAAAAGCACTATTTAATTTTCACCAAAATAATATCCCACTTCTGAAAACACTGTTTCATCACTGTTCTTTCATTGGCTGGTACTTTTAAATTATCAGGTGAAAATAATTCAAAGCCCAGTCCACCTAAACTCACACGAATTTGCTTATTGCCTCTTCTAACATTTCTACAAGTTGGAACACTTGTACGCTGTCGTGAGTTGTTGTATGCCTACGTTACAAATGATGTTAACTAACTAACATTAAACAGATCAACTTACTTGTACAAAGTACCTCAGTAAGTGCGATAGCAAACACAGATCTAAATACTTCACAAAAACACATTAACTGATTCAACTCTCTGTCATATAAAAACTTCACACTTCATAATTATTCCGTATTTATAATCTAGGTGCGTATGTACCAGAAATATTCTGATGTCAACTTAGAACCTTATAGGTATTCTAGGCCTGTCTTGGCGTCACAAAAGACTCAATAAAGAATAAAATGTTAAAATATAATAGGCCTAGTACTAAATAACAATGATAGTTAATAATAATGAGTCCTGTTAAGAAAAAATCCTGAAATTTCTCCCTCCTTTTACTACAACTGATCAATGTTCTTACGGTAATTGGTAGGCCTCCTGCAAAATCGTCCAAAAATGGTTAAGGTAGATGCTTCAAATTTTAAAATACCTCAAAATTTTCCAGTTCTATCTCATTATTAAGAATATCTAATAATTTATATTACGTACAAAAGAAAATAATTCACAATACCATTGTAATGTGATTTTGAATTTTGAATAATAAATAATAAAATATTCTTTGTAAGGTGAGATAAACTACTATTTCTTTTAGTTATCTCTAGTCTCCGTTCTCCCTAAACCTAAAAGTTTTATACACATCACGAACATTACACACTGTTATAATATTATGATTATCGCGTGCCAAGTATTATTTTCGATCGCAAAAGAAACTATTTACATTAAAGAAATCGAACTTACAGGCAAGAAATGGAATTTCTAACGTTACTCTTATAAGTTACAGTATGTATTTAGCCAGTTGTTAATTGTAATCACAAATAACGGTAAATCAACATTATTGTTAACTTTGGCGCTTCTGGAATGTCTGTAGATAATATTAACATATAAAGTAACTATATATGGTAAGTTAGATTAAGTTAATTGTAATTCCAGATTGCAATGTGTTACAATAATATAAAGATTTATATATAAACCGATTTTAATGCTGTTATATTTACAAATCAACGCTAACCACCTCGTAAACAGCAACTTCTCAATAGTAACTCGCTTGGTTAAATATTGTGCACGAGAAAAGAAAGATCAATAATTTCCTAAGATCAAGCGATTTTTGAAAAGATAAATTATGTAAATACTTTAATAATATGATGTGCGTTTCACATATATCTCATAAAACGTGAAGTATAATTTATATAAAGCTTGTAAGATGTAAAGGCTTATCTTCGTCTCATTGTACAAGTTAATAATCATATAAGAACGTAATATTGGATACTTAAGTTTCCTTATTTTTTTAAATACCAGCTATAGCTACATGTTGCTACAATGACAGCATCTGTTTTAGCAAGTTGTGAGTGAATAAAATACTTAACATATCACAAGATTATTTAAATAGTGTTTACGCCCAATTCAGGGGCTAACCACGACCTTGAATTTCATATTAACTTAATATAATAAAGTCAGAGGAAACTACTCCATTAATCCATAAATTATGATAATAATTAAATTTCAAATATTACAATATTTCATAAATGAAAATTCTCACCTTTAGATAACAAGGAATCTTTCTGTTTTAACAGAACTTCGTTTGTCACTCAGTGGCTTTTTGGGCTACCATATACTATAGGTCTTGCTATACATACAGTTCACAGAATGCCCAATAATAAAATACCTTCAATACCTGTCCATCCCACTTCCTTATAAATTATGATAATAAAACGATTTCATTTACCACCGAATAATCATTGACCTATTTGTTGGATGTATAAGATATGGTACTACAAACGTCCATTTACAAAATTACTTAGTCAGAAGAATGCGTCATTACCAATATTATACACTGATAATTTCATTTTGGCGAAAACACGCTGGCTTAGGTTGGTTCGCTTGAGACAGACGCCATTTGAGGGATCGTGCTGTAATATTTTAATTTTCGTTAGAAAGGAGTAGTTTGTTTTAAAAATATATAAACAAATTTTAGTAGAAACAGTAAATACGGTAAAATATTCTATGGGTTAATTCCTTATGAAAGCAATGTCAGAATAATGTTAGCGAAATTTTTGATCGCCATATATATTTGTCAGCGGTCCCTCGCTCGTTTCACCGGAAATACATGTACCAAAAAAATATTCCGAAATTAATGTTCATCATGATATAGAGTTTTCAAATAAGCAAACAAAACCATTATTATGGTAAATAATTTAGATCATTTTTAATCAAAATAAAACTGAGAAACATTAACTTAATGAAAGTATTAAAAAGAAATCAATGGCGCATGAATACACGATGTTTCTTGTACATTGAATTAGGGATGCTTAATTAACATATCAAACACAAATACGAGTGAAGTAGAAAGCGTAAGAGTTTTGTGGGTTATTTTTGTGATAGAATTGGTGATAAAATCCTTGAGTGTTACCATAACAACGTATTGAACAAGATTAAGGAAAAAGATGGTTTGAGTTTTAATGTTATCAAGTAGGCCAGGCTGTGTTCATACTTCAACATTTATTATTAGAGAAATTTAAGATTTAGGGCTAGACTGGTCACGATGTTACTGGTATCAGCTCAGACCTCCACAGCTGTTGGCTTTGTGGCGCCATCTCTGTACAGTAAGCCAAAAATAAATTTAATTGTTAAAGTTTATTATATTCAGACATAATTTGGAAATTGTTGACTCACGTGTATTCACCGAATAAATATATATTATTAAACAATGATCAACTACGTCTATATTCTAACTTTCAATATTATTGCTACTATTATTAATAGTAGTTTTAGTACTAGGCTAAAGTAAATATGTCACAAGTAATAAAAGAAATTACAAAAATTAAGTATGACTATGATGTATAGATGGCAGTGTCATAAGGTACCGAAACAAAGTAGAGATGAATACACAAAACCATACACAAATTCCAACATAAGTAGCCATTAAGTAATGAATTAATCTCACGAGCGTATGGTTATTAATATTCGCCACTGTGTAAGACTGTATAGCACTATTCAATTTAAATACTTTTATTCACACCTGAATTCATGCAACTGATAGGAATTCAACATTTAGTTGTAGATAAAAGATATTATTGGAAAGATTTGGCTACTTATGTAGTGATTTTTGTATGGTTTTGTGTATTCATCCCTACCTTGTTTGTGCACTCTTGGCATTGTTATCCCAACATCATATTTAATTTTTACGAAATTTTTTATTACTTTTTTGTCTTTTTTTTTTTAGTTTCATTGAAGTAGGTTGAAAAGTGAACATTTGTTTTATTTTGATAAATCAATGGTAATATATTGTTAATATCATATCTGTTTAGTCAGTTTCTTCATTGCATATGTAGAATGATCTCAGATATTGATATTATATTATACAGTTGGGTAGATTATTAGTCATAATCTTGACTTCTTGGGACATAATGTTGAGGAACTTGCAATAAGGAAAGAACATATGGAAAATGTATAGCTGTATCATCCCTATATTCTTGTTTGCATTGTTTTTGGCACTGCCTTCCCTACATCATTTTACATTTACAAAATGTTTTTTATTACTTGTTTTCTGTTGTTTTTCCCTGACTGAAAGTTAGTGTATTTGATGAATATGTATAATAAAATTTAATATTATGTGTTTTAATTTTTTTTTTACTTCTTCACTTCATACTTAATATAGGGGTTGGCTCCCTAAAAGACACCAATTGTATAGTGTAAAAAGCATTGAGTATAAAGTTATTACTTTTTCATCCTCAACTTAAGCTTTTGAAAGGAACAGATTTCTGTAAGAAATTTAATGTCAAGGGGTAATGATAACATCATTTACACTAGAATTATTATTATTTTTTAGTTTATGCTAAGCATTACAATGCTTAGTGGTAGCCTGTTCCCAAATGCTCTTAAAATGCTTTTCTGTTGTATCAAAGTCTTTGCAAAAACTTACACACATTTTTTGGCTAGCGTGGGAAAAGAAAAAAAAAAGATGAACAATGCGGCTCTTTAACTAGTTCCTAGTTCTTCACTATAACACTTTTCAATGATATTGGGTGTTTTATAAGCTGTAAAACAGTCCATAATGGCAATTAAGTGCTCAAATAAGGCTATAACTCAACGTTAGCAGTTATTTGTAAGCATCATAGAGTAATAGACTGAATGCGGCAGCCATTTTTTTCTCGGTCCATCTCTGCGTACTAAGCACTACCATGCTTAGCGATAACTTACTATCTAATACTTATTACTAGTACAAACCGTAGCAATAGGGCCAACTAAAAGTTAAATCAGGAAATCACTGCCTAATGAGAATTTCATTCTATTTGACACTGTACAATCTCAATCATTGGGTCTAAAATAAAATTCCCCATAACTATTGCATCAGCATTCTCATTAGTAATATAACCCTGATCTCATTATACAATTTCATATTAATCTTATTTCACTCATCAGTTAGCCTAGAGGTTATTACAATTATGAATTAAAAACTTCCTACACTTGAAATCCTCAATAGTGATAATAATGTATGTAGACTTGAACTTGTGATTGCCCTTCATAATGTCTTTAGTCCTAACAGGCTCAAGTTCATTCCGTATATAAAACACCACAATACACCCCTTTTAGAAAGTATCACTATTGTATAACTTATAGTTATAAGATGGAAATTTAAATTAATTCCTGTTACTGCTGTTCCTCAAATATAACCAAGTTTCCATAATTCCCATTAGGTCATGGTTTTCCATTTCAGCTAAAGTTTAGGACTTTTTTATTTTGTTCCAAATATGCATAATATTTGAGTAATAACAACTATGCTTATTCTTTAATTTACATTGTTTATCTTTAAGTCTTGCACTTACCTTTAAAGCTATTATTCAAATTGTTATGCTCTAAATCTCCTATTTCTAATCTCCTCATTACCTCAGTTATCTTTTCAGTTTCTTTATTCCTGATTTCCTAAGCTTCGTCATCACCAATGTAAGCTTATTTAAACTGTGTTTAATTAGTATCTCTATAGTTTTCTCAAAACTTCTACTACTATACCTGCTTAAGCTTACCTATGGCATATAATTCATTCTTGCCCTGAAAATTATCTTACAAGTCTAACCAGCTCACTTGTTGTTCTAACTTCTAAGTATATCCCTGATAATCTTTCTTTTAAGCTATGGATCCTGCTAAATAATTCATTTTCACATATAGAGCCTGAAGATGTTTTGAAAGGCAGACAAATAGCATAAAAAATTAACTCATATTGAAAGATTAACAGGTCTCACCAAGACTTGTAAAATATTAAAGTCTGAATTACCAAATACAAAATTGAATCTAGGATCAAGAATAATATTTATAAGTATGTTTAATTTTGTTAATTTTACAAATGTATAAAACATTCTCTAATTGGCATACTCTTATTTACTGTATATTTGATGAATATATTTCTATTTTATACCTGTACAAAATATAGAGAGACCTGAATAATAAGTTAAACACAACATACGTTTTAGTTAAATTCCTTTTGATGCAGTGTATTTCTGTGTTTCTCTAGAACAACTCAAGTTTAAGAAGCATGCTTAATTTACAGTGCTGTATCTGTATTTACTTTTAATTTTTTTTAACATCATCAAATGTTACAAAATGAAATGATATTTCCTTTTGCTTATCTACAAGTGACCTAGAACTTGCATGTAGTAATTACTGATTTGGTTCAAGACAATCCTTCTATCATCATTAAAAGATAAATAAAGAAATAACTGTCTTCTAGTTTAATTTCTCATGTCCTTCCTGCGTAAATACACTTCATCTCAACAATCCCATCAAGGTCTTTTATAGTATCTGGAAGTGTACGAAGAAAGGGCATTTCTATGCATAAAAAGATTCCTGGTTTGTGCACGGTAAGTCCAGTTGGTTTTTCAGATGTCGTTATTGCTGTTGTTTTGTATTGTTTGCCATTATGGTGGTCTTGCTTATAATGTTTGAAGGATATAAGAATGTTCTTGTTTTTCTGTCTCAAAAATCTGTTGCCAATGTCTTACGTAATTTTTCAGTATTCCTACTAGAGTTAATTTGAAGGTTTCACCAAATCACGATACAGTAATTCTCCCAACACCTCTATTTGTGTCAAACTGGACTCCCACACTGATATCTTGTTAGTTTTCAATATTTTTAGTTTCTTCAGTAGTTGAACCATTTCTTGTAAAAGATATTTGAAAAAAGGAATGATCATATGCAACCTTACCATTAGTCAAGATGTTTTAACTAAGCCAATTTTTGTCTGGTTTTGTTAAAGCTACCATACTTGGGGTCATCTTTAGAATAAAATGTATAGTATATTATTTTTATTTCTATTTCCTGCTAGTCATGAACAAGAAGTAACAGATAGCAAAGACATTTTTGCCTGTAAATACTCATCATCAGGTGGATTCTGACAACAGATGATTGCAGAGCATCTCCCTTTAGTTTAGATGGAGTTTTCATGGTTCATCTTTCTAATTCTTTCTAGGATATATCACAGAGTGGAATATCAAGAGAGTTGATATCGGTATCCTATTTTGGGTAAGTGTTTTGGAGAATTAATGTTTACTGTAATTCTGAATTTAATTTAGTGTATTTTCATTTAATTTGGTAAGGTTTTAGTAAACATTAAAAGTATGTTGTACACAAAAAAAATATAATTTTCATTAAAGTATTTCTATGAAAGATTTGTCTCTGGACTTACTTTATATTCTGTCTGACTAGTCTGAGTGCAAGGTAATTTTCATGGTAAGAATAAAAACAGATTTTATTTGCATAATCTCTAGAACTTTCTAAATGAATATTAAAAAAAATTTCAGTAAAACTTTATTTTGTCTGTTAGTTTTTTACCCTAACATTACATGGGTTCGGTCCACTTGACCGACCTTGTGACTACCACATGGGTTCAGTCCACTTGACCAATCTTGTGACAACCACATGGGTTTGGTCCACTTGACCAACCTTGTAACAACCATATGGGTTCAGTACACTTGACTGACCTTGTAACCACCACAAAAAAATATGAAATTAATCTAAGTTACCCCTTTTTTTTTATAATGACTGCAGATTTAACAGATAATTACAGTTATTTTTCCTGAAATCTTCAATCTTCTCCCCTTTTCACAACTGCTTTCATTTAATTTTGTTGTTTTAATTCTTTTTCATATGTGTCTCACAGCTAAACTTGCATAAATACAAACTAAATCACCTGGCTATTATTAAATTCATGAACAGCTTGCGTGGAGACTTCACTGAGAAATGTTTTTTATTCAACTTAGCAAGTTTCTCATTTTTACATTTCAATTACTTTTATAAAAATATATAGAAAATACATAAAAAAACAAGTAATTTATTATTTATATCTGACCTCCTGTTTTTTTCTCTTGGGCCACATGAAACTTATCACTAATTTTTTTTGTAATGATGGTAATAATACATCAAATAATAATTCATTTATTTCAAATATGCAGTTCAGAACACAAAATAATAACATGCACAAGGAACACAATGTCCTATAACTGCTGTAATTTAGCTGGTTTTCTAGATAAGCTATAAGTGTGTTAAAATAATTCACTTACCTGGTCAGTGTGAATGCAGCAAAGTGTGTTAAAATAATTCACTTACCAAGTCAGTGTGAACTCAGCAAAGTGTGTTAAAATAATTCACTTATCTGGTCAATGTGAACTCAGCAAAGTGTGTTAAAATAATTCACTTACCTGGTCAGTATGAACTCAGCAAAGTGTGTTAAAATAATTCACTTACCTGGCCAGTATGAACTCAGCAATAGCAACAATAAATTGTTAGGTCAAATAATTAACATGCTTTTGTTAGAACAAGCTAACCTTGTATGGAAATCAGTAAATTAAATTATTCTATTTTTATTAGTTATAAATAATTTAAGAGTAAACATCAGACACAATTATAAATATTTTGTGAAAGACAAGACGTGATAAGAGGGTGAGGTTTGAATTTTTGGTTTATATCTCCATAAACCGGGAAGATTGGAGGCTATAAAATTATTCCTTAATAATATCTATACTACAAATGTGTAATTTATGTTCAACCCAGGACATCATACATGGGATGGTGAGAAAATTGAAAATGGGAAATTTGGAGCAAATGATACAGTCAATTGAAGATTGAGAATTTATTTAAATATTTCCTTTTTTAAATTAAGAAGTTAAAACTTACATTAAAATTTGATTTATTATTTACATTTTGATGTCATGTTTATTGATATACATTAATAATAAAGCAGTTTAATTAAGTTTTGAATGTAACTGTAAAAAGGTTTGACAGGCACACTTTGACCCCCCTCCTGTGCACATAGGGTTAAAAAAACTAGTAAAAATAGATTTTACCGATTGATTTTGGGCTAAACATTGCCTTCAAAAGCTGTATTTTGAATGTTGCATTTATGTTTCTCAATAGAGGTTACCAAGCTGACTATCTTTCCACTGCATTTGGTAGTTTCTTCTCTGTCATGTGATACAACTGCTGAATTGTTGGTGTTAGAGCTTTCTGTGCAGGGTTTGCAATAGTACCAGCGGTACCAGGTTGCCAGTACCGGTACTAGAACATCTCTAATCATATGACTTGAGCAGTTAGAAATTCAACTATTCTTCCCAGTGTGTTCTCGTGGGAAATTTTTTTTCACACCAAACAAATTGTCAATTATCTGTAAGCTCACATGGTATGATGACTATGGCAATGAATCAGTTGAAATCTAGACTTTCTATTGATTATAAACTTAATGGGAGTCAGCCTCAGAAAAACCTATTAGCAAATTGTAAATTAGAACATGTCAGAGGTAGGCATGGAAAGTGGTTTCTGAATTTTTATTGATTGGACTTTAGCCCCATAAGATTGAAGAATATAAAACTCTAGCTTCAGAATATCGATGATGAAATTATAGAAAATATTTTACATTGCATTTCATAGTTTTCTACAGGGTGGACAAAAAAAGCCAGCAGAGGAGACGGCTCAATAACAAATATTCTAATTCTCACACTCGGGGAACTTGAGATTTTTTAAAAAATATTTCATTAAACAATTAAGAACTTAAAACTTATATAATATTAAAATTTAATTTATTATCTATGTTTTGATGTCAGATTTGTTTGTATACCATGATAATTAAGTAGTTTAATTAAATTTTGAATGTAACAAGAGAATGTGAATGTGCCTACATGACTGACTGCACATTAAGTAGGTGCATGCGTGATTAACCCTTAGCATGTGGGCAGGTCAAACTGCATGTCACACAACATTTTAATAACAGAGCATGGGAGTCACCAGTTTCCCGTATTTCATGCCATTGCTGATTTTCACGGTGAGATTCACGTATCGACTAAGGTATGAACTCAAAACTACCACATCAAACATTTATAATTCTTTGAAAAGCAAAACTGAAATACCAGAAGAGGCGTTCGGTCAAAACTCTGAAGGTGGGACATGTAATAACAGATATTATTCTCAACATATGATATACTATGAACCAGTACGGTACTGACTGCAAACTCCTGTTTATGTGGTTTTGATATTCTTTGATTCTCACTTTAACAGGTTTCCTTGTTTTACTATTGTGTTTATTGCCACATTCACATGGAATGCAGTAATAGATTCTAACAGATCTTGAAAGGGAATTATATATATATATATATATATATATC